ACCACTATCACTATCAGCACCAGCACTATCACCACCATCACTACCAACATCACCATCACTACCACCACCATCACTACCAACATCACCATCACTACCAACATCACCATCACTACCACCATCACTACCAACATCACCATCACTACCAACATCACCATCACTACCACCACCATCACTACCAACATCACCATCACTACCACCACCATCACTACCAACATCACCATCACTACCACCATCACTACCAACATCACCATCACTACCACCACCATCACTACCAACATCACCATCACTACCAACATCACCATCACTACCAACATCACCATCACTACCAACATTACCATCACTACCACCACCATCACTACCAACATCACCATCACTACCAACACTACCAACATCACCATCACTACCAACATCACCATCACTACCAACATCACCATCACTACCACCACCATCACTACCAACATCACCATCACTACCACCACCATCACTACCAACATCACCATCACTACCACCACCATCACTACCACCACCATCACTACCAACACCACCATCACTACCAACATCACCATCACTACCAACACCATCACTACCAACATCACTACCACCACCATCACTACCAACATCACCATCACTACCACCACCATCACTACCAACATCACCATCACTACCACCACCATCACTACCAACACTACCACCACTACCAACATCGCCACCTGACCTACGTTCAGCAGGCCTCGTCAGGGTCCGGGATCGAACCCACGACCTCCTGCGGGGAGAAGGGAACCCCCCTAGCGTGACCCCCTCCCCTACCCCCCTCACCTTACCCCCCTCCCCTACCCCCTCCCCTACCCCCCTCACCTTACCCCCTTCCCCTACCCCCTCACCTACCCCCCTTCCCCTACCCCCTCACCTACCCCCCAACATCCCAGACCCCCCCAAATGAGGAGCCACAACACCGTACCGAGTCTCATTATTATTATTTATTAATCGTGACCATTAACAACTTGATATCATTAACAATTTAATATCACCATCATTACAACGCTTACGTGTCTTCAATTTAAAGTGTACCACTCACAATTAGGGTCAATTAATGAAATACAATCTATAAGAGAAAAGTTCGATCCACAAAGTATGGAGGCGTCGTGAAATGTCGCGTGGTGGTGGAGGCTGGCGCAGCCGACAGCGGAGCAACAGCGCACCCTGGCGGGTGGTCATCGGTAACACCACTCACACTCCTCACACCTACACACACTCACACACCTACACACACTCACCTACACTCTCTCACACACCTACACACACTCACCTACACTCACACCTACACTCTCACTTACACTCACTCACCTACACACACTCACACCTACACATACACACACTCACCTACACATACACACACTCACACACCTACACACTACACACTCACACCTACACACACACTCTCACTCACCTACACCTACACACACTCTCACTCACACCTACACACACTCACCTACACACCACACACACACCTACACACAGACTCACACCTACACACTCTCACCTACACACACTCACCTACACTCACTCACACCGACTCACCTACACACACTAACACCCACACACCTACTCACACCTACTCACCCACCAACCCACTCACTTTACCAACCTACTCACCCATCCACGAACCTACTCAACCCACCTCACCAACCCATCCGCTCACCCACTAACCATTGGGTGTGGTTAGCGCTAGGCTGCTAACCCCACAGATTCCCACACAACTACACACACCCACACCCATTCACACCTACACACTCACACCTACACACACTCACACCTACTCACCCACCAACCCACCCCACCAACCCACTCACTTTACCAACCGACTCACCCATCCACGAATCCGCTCACCCACTAACCATTGGGTGTGGTTAGCGCTAGGCTGCTAACCCCACAGATTCCCACACAACTACACACACTCACACACCTACACACACCCATTCACACCTACACACTCACACCTACACACACCCATTCACACACCCTCACACCTACACACACTCACACCTACTCACCCACCAACCCACTCACTTTACCAACCGACTCACCCATCCACGAATCTACTCACCCACCTCACCAACCCATCCGCTCACCCACTAACCATTGGGTGTGGTTAGCGCTGGGCTGCTAACCCCACAGATTCCCACACAACGGCCACCAATTCCACCACTCGGAGACAGTAGCGATTATCTGAACCAGTACCTGGCCCTCCCCTCGGTCGACTCGGCCTCAAATGAGTACCTGGTGTCGCAGTGTAGCGTAGTAAACATCGCTGGCACTGGGGAGACAAAGGCGGCCGGGCGTGGTGGTGCTGGCCACCCACCCCCTCTGTGTGTGCCACAGTGCCGGTAGCCTTCAAAGGCGCTGCTGCTGCTGCTACTACTAACAGCACTTGCCCCTGCAGCCTGTTAGAGGCTACACGGGGGAGCTTTGAATGAGTGAGTGGGTGGGTGGTTAAGTGAGTGGGTGCTGGTGAGTCCTTGGTGTTGGTGAGTGATGGTGAGTGTTGGTGAGTGATGGTGAGTGATGGGGCGAGTCCGGAAAAAACAACCCCCGACCTCCTCATTGGTGCCGGAAGGCAACGCTGTGGTGAGCAGCGGTGCCATTGGGGGAGGGCCAATTCCGATTGGCCATTCCCCTCATGGCGAGCCACCACAGCCGCCAAAAGGGGGGCTCTGGACAGGTGCGAGGGGCTGGTAACCCCCCCACACCTTCAATCCAAGTACCACAAAACCACAAAATAAAAATCTAAGCTTGTGCCGGAGGCCCCGGGGGGACAGGCGTCTATGACGTCTCCTGGCAAAACCCCATTTGGCGGAGCCAGGAGACTGAATCTCTACCCTCGGGGCTCCTCCAGAAACAACGAAAAGCCACTACGGGTGGCCACGTGGAATGTTCGAACGCTCACAGCGAAGGAGAGGCTGCCACTCCTCTGTCGGGAGCTGGACCGGTGCCGCCTGGATCTCTGTGGCATTCAGGAGGTCCGGTGGACCGGTTCTGGCTCCTGCCACCATGAGGGGTGGACAGTCGTCTACTCGGGGCAGCAGACTGCCAAACAACAGGGAGTGGCTCTTGTTCTAAACAAAAGAATGAAGGGGGCGTGGGAGCGTGGCGGTGAGGTGTGGGAAGCTGTAAGCCCCAGGCTACTTTGGGCTCACCTTACCATCAACCGGAGGCGAGGAATGGTGGTCGTGGTTACTTATGCCCCCACCGAAGACGAACATCCGTGACGGGATGCAGGCAAGGCCGATGAGTCAGATGCCTTCTATGACCTCCTGTCACAGGTGCTGGCTAAAGTGGCCCCTCGGGATAGAGTCATCATGTTGGGTGACTTCAATGCCCGAGTTGGTCATGATGCTGGAACCTGGTCTGGAGTGATTTGAAGGCATCGGCGCATCTACACAACATCATGGATGTATGCCGGGTCCAAGCAAGAACATCTGCTGGATTACATAGTGACAGAACAGCGGATGCAGGCCCATGTCCTTGACACCAGGACCTACCGTGGAGCTGATCTGCCCACTGACCATCGACTAGTCATCTGTAAGAAGCGCCTGCCATTCTTCCACTCCGGTGGTGGGTGTACACCCAGTACCAGGTTCAAACTCAGTGGCATGGTCTCAGCTAGCTGATGAAAGTTGCAAGTGAGAATTGATCGCTTGCGGCTGGGGTTGGCATCGTCTCCCACTCCTCCTGATGTTGACGGGAAATAGGCGAGGTTTAGGACTGTGACTCATGCAGCTGCATTGGCTGCTTTGGGTACGCGGTCCAGAGCTTCCCAGAGACCCTGACAGAGGTGTTCAGGCTGGCTGAGAAAAAGCGACAGGCCCATTCTCATTGTCTACAGCATCCCACGTCAGAGAATGAAAAGGCTTACCGCATCATTCGCTCAGAGGTTAGCAGAGCCGCGAGGCGGTGCAAGGATGGGTGGGGGTCGCGGGTTTCTGAGGAGATCGAATCTGCCTCAGTGGCCCGTGATCACAAATCGCTCTTTAACTCCATCAAAAAAGTAACCTGCAGCGTCACACCTAATTACCATAATTAGGGGAAAGAACGGTGATCCAATCTCCGACCCCCAGGAACAGGTTTGCAGATTTGCTGAGCATTTCTCTGAGGTCCTGGGGGAGGGAAAATCCCTCAGCCAGGAAAACATCGTGGCACAAAGTGAGGGTGACCCTGCTGAGGCTGCGGTGCCTCAAATATTGGAGGAAGTCACCCCCTGTGAGTGGCTGGCTGAGGTGCCATCCGTTGAGGAAGTACTGAAGGCGATCCGGAGTCTGAGACCAGGAAAGGCACCAGGACCTCCCAAGCGAAATGCTGAGGGACTGGCGTTTGTGCACAGACTGCCCTTCATGACATCACAACAACAGTCTGGACCACTGGATGGGTTCCACAGGATTGGAAGGATGCCCTGGTGGTCCCCCTCTTTAAGAAGGGGGACCGCACAGACTGTAACAACTACAGGGGCATCTCACTACAGAGTGTGCCGGGAAAGGTCCTGGGCAAGGATTATTCAACATCGCCTTGCCGGGCACGCTGAGGAGAGGCTTGCGGAGCCCCAATGCGGTTTCAGGAAAGGGCGGTCCTGCACAGATGCCATATTTTCTGTCCGTCTGCTACAGCAGAGGTGTAAGGAATTCCAACAAGGCCTACATCTCTGCTTTATTGACCTGGTCAAGCCCTATGATCGCATCAGTAGGCCTGGGCTCTGGGTCATTCTTCGTGCTTTTGGAGTCTCTGACCCTCTGCTCACGCTCATTAAGGACCTTCATGATGGTGAGCGCCGGGTGTCTAAAGCACAGCAGGTTGGCACAGTAGGGGGCACAGGTGGTGCATCAGCCAGTCATCTCAGTCATCTCAGTCAGTCGACCCGTGGCACCTGCTGGGTCTGCCCCGTGACCTCCTGCCAGCGGGCGTTCGACACTTCACGTGGCCTCAAGGTGCACATGGCCTGGCACAAGCGTCGTGGTGACGTCACCGCCACTTAGTGGCGAACAGTGGTTGTTGTGATGGTGTAAATTATAGTGTGAGTGCTGGTGAGTGATGGTGAGTGCTTGGTGAGTGATGGTGAGTGATGGTGAGTGATGGGCAAGTGCTTTGGAGTCCTTGCTGCTCATTTTTTCTCCTTCTTGGACCACTCCTCCCACCCTCCAGGGAAGTGGACGGCACTGCACACACAGACACACACACAGACACACACAGACACACAGACACACACACAGACACACACAGACACACACAGACACGCACACACAGACACACACAGACACACACACACAGACACACACAAAGACACACACAGACACACACACACACAGAGACACACACAAGACACACACAGACACACACAGACACACACAGATACACACACATAGACACACACACATAGACACACACACATACCCGCAACCCACACACACCCACACAAAGACACACACACACACACACAGACACACAGACACACACCCACAACCCACACACACCCACAACCCACACACACCCACGACCCACACAAAGACACACACACACCCACAACCCACACACAGACACACACACACCCACAGACACACACACACCCGCAACCCACACACAGACAAAGACACACACACACACCCACAGACAGACACCCACAGACACACACACACAGACACACACACACACAGACACACACACATACCCGCAACCCACACACACCCCCACACACAATAAGACACCCACAACCCACACACAGACACACACACACAGACACAAACACACCCACACACAGACACACCCACAGACACACACAAAGGTCCCCCGGTTAGCCTGTAACAGACTGTAGCGGAAAGTGCTGTTGGCGCCTGTGAAGGCTACCGGCACTGTAGCCACACACAGAGGGGGTGGGTGGCCAGCACCACGCCCGGCCGCCTTTGTCTCTCCCCAGTGTCACACACTCACCCACCCACTGACCCACTCACTGGCCCACTCAAAGACCCACTCACCAACCCACTCACTGACCCACTTACTGACCCAATCACCGACCCACTCACTGACCCACCAACACCACTCACTGACCCACTCACCCACCCACTCACCGACCCACTCACTTACTCACCAACCCACTCACTGACCCACTCACCCACTTACTCACCAACCCACTCACTTACTCACCAACCCACTCACTGACCCACTCACCCACCCACTCACCCACCCACTCACTTACTCACCAACCCACTGACCCACTCACTAACCCAATCACCGACCCATTCAATGGCCCACTCAATGGCCCACTCAATGGCCCACTCAATGGCCCACTTACTAACCAAATCACCGACCCACTCATTGACCCACCGACCCACTCACTCCCTTACTCACTAACCTACTCACTGACCAACTCACTGACCCAATCACCGACCCACTCACTGACCCACCGACCCACTCACTGACCCACTCACCCACTCACCCACTTACTCACCAACCCACTTACTGACCCACTCACTGACCCACTCACTAACCCAATCACCGACCCATTCAATGGCCCACTCAATGGCCCACTCAATGGCCCACTCAATGGGCCACTCAATGGCCCACTCACCGACCCACTCACTGACCCACTTACTGGCCAAATCACCGACCCACTCATTGACCCACCAACCCACTCACTGACCCACTCACCCACCCACTCACCGACCCACTCACTTACTCACCAATCCACTGACTGACCAACTCACTGACCCAATCACCGACCCACTCACTGACCCACCGACCCACTCACTGACCCACCCACCCACCCACTCACTTACTCACCAACCCACTCACTGACCCACCCACTCACTCACTCACCAACCCACTCACTGACCCACTCACTGACCTACTCACCCACCCACTCACCCACTCACCCACCCACTCAAAGACAAAGATCCCCCGTGCAGCCTGTAACAGACTGTTGGGGCAAGTGCTGTTAGCGAGCAGCGCCTATGAAGGCTACCGGCACTGTGCCACACGCAGAGGGGGTGGGTGGCCAGCCCCACGCCCGGCCGCCTTTGTCTCTCCTCAGTGCTAGCGGTGTTCACTAAACCACACCGGCTGAGTCGACCTAGGGGAGGCCCAGGACTGGTTCAGATAATCGTCACTGGTGGTGGCCGTGAGCGGGAATCTAACTCGGGCTGGCTGGCTGGTAGCGCTAACCACTACACTACCGCTCCCCACTGAGTCTATCACCGTGCCTCTCACCGTGTCTCTCTCACTGTGTCCCCGTGTCTCTCACTGTGTCTCTCACTGCGTGTCTCTCACTGTGTGTCTCTCACTGTGTGTCTCTCACTGTGTGTCTCTCACTGTGCGTCTGTGCGTGTCTCACTGTGTGTCTCTCACTGTGCGTCTGTGCGTCTCTCACTGTGTGTCTCTCACTGTGTGTCTCTCACTGTGTGTCTCTCACTGTGTGTCTGTGTGTCACTCACTGTGTGTCTCTCACTGTGTGTCTCTCACTGTGTGTCTCTCACTGTGCGTCTGTGTGTCTCACTGTGTGTCTCTCACTGTGTGTCTCACTGTGTGCCTCTCACCGTGTCTCTCTCACTGTGTCCCCGTGTCTCTCACTGTGCGTCTGTGCGTCTCTCACTGTGCGTCTCTCACTGTGTGTCTCACTGTGTGTCTCTCACTGTGTGTCTGTGTGTCTCACTGTGTGTCTCTCACTGTGTGTCTCTCACTGTATGTCTCTCACTGTATGTCTGTGTGTCTCTCACTATGTGTCACTCACTGTGTCTCTCACTGTGTGTCTCTCACTGTGTCACTCACTGTGTCACTCACTGTGTCTCTCACTGTGTGTCTGTGTGTCTCACTGTGTGTGTCTCTCACTGTGTGTCTCTCACTGTGTGTCTGTGTGTCTCACTGTGTGTGTCTCTCACTGTGTGTCTCTCACTGTGTGTCTGTGCGTCTCTCACTGTGTGTCACTCACTGTGTGTCTCTCACTGTGCGTCTGTGCGTCTCTCACTGCGTCTCTCACTGTGTCTCTCTCACTGTGTGTCTCTCACTGTGTGTTTCTCACTGTGTGTCACTCTCACTGTGTGTCTCTCTCACTGTGTGTCTCTCACTGTGTGTTTCTCACTGTGTGTCACTCACTGTGTGTCTCTCACTGTGTGTCACTCACTGTGTGTCTCTCGCTGTGTGTCTCTCGCTGTGTGTCTCTCACTGTGTGTCTCTCACTGTGTGTCTCTCACTGTGTGTCTCTCACTGTGTGTCTCTCACTGTGTGTCTCTCACTGTGTGTCTCTCTCACTGTGTGTCTCTCACTGTGTGTCACTCACTCTGTGTCTCTCACTGTGTGTCACTCACTCTGTGTCTCTCACTGTGCGTGTCTCACTGTGCGTGTCTCACTGTGTCTCACTGTGTGTCTCACTGTGTCTCTCACTGTGTGTCTCACTGTGTGTCTCACTGTGTCTCACTGTGTCTCTCACTGTGTGTCTCACTGTGTCTCTCACTGTGTGTCTCACTGTGTGTCTCACTGTGTGTCTCACTGTGTGTCTCACTGTGTCTCTCACTGTGTGTCTCACTGTGTGTCTCACTGTGTCTCTCACTGTGTGTCTCACTGTGTGTCTCACTGTGTCTCTCACTGTGTGTCTCTCACTGTGTGTCTCTCACTGTGTGTCTCTCACTCTGCATCTCTCACTGTGTGTCACTCCTCACTGTGTCTCTCACTGTGTGTCTCACTGTGTCTCTCACTGTGTGTCTCTCACTGTGTGTCTCTCACTGTGTCTCACTGTGTGTCTCTCACTGTGTGTCTCTCACTGTGTGTCTCACTGTGTCTCTCACCGTGTGTCACTCACCGTGTGTCACTGTGTCACTCACTGTGTGTCACTCACTGTGTGTCTCACTGTGTGTCTGTGTGTCTCTCACTGTGTGTCTCTCACTGTGTCTCTCACTGTGTGTCTCACTGTGTCTCTCACTGTGTCACTCACTGTGTGTCACTCACTGTGTGTCTCACTGTGTGTCTGTGTGTCTCTCACTGTGTGTCTCACTGTGTGTCTCTCACTGTGTGTCTCTCACTGCGTGTCTCCGTGTCTCCCAGCGCGTGTCTCCGTGTCTCTCACTGTGTGTCTCCGTGTCTCCCAGCGCGTGTCTCCGTGTCTCTCACTGCGTGTCTCCGTGTCTCTCACTGCGTGTCTCCGTGTCTCTCACTGCGTGTCTCCGTGTCTCTCACCGCGAGTACCCTAGCCGTGTGGCCGTGGTGAGGGCGTGGAGGCTCCGCACTCCGGCTAGACATGAGAACACCAGGCTCTCACCGCAGCGCGACGGTGGCGCTCGCGAGTAGCGGCGCTCAAACTCACTCGCAGGCAGGCGCAGGGACTCCTCCAGCTGCAGCACTGAGACACACGGAGAGACGCGGAGACTCAGAGACACACGGAGACACACGGAGACACACGGAGACACACGGAGACACACGGAGAGACACAGAGACACACGGAGACTCAGAGACACACGGAGACACACGGAGACACACGGAGACACAGGGAGACACACTGAGACACACAGAGACAGAGACTCCTCCAGCTGCAGCACTGAGACACACGGAGACACACGGAGACTCAGAGACACAGGGAGACTCACGGAGACACACGGAGACACACGGAGAGACACAGAGACACACGGAGACACACGGAGACTCAGAGACACAGGGAGACACACGGAGAGACGCGGAGACACACGGAGAGACACGGAGACACAGGGAGACACACTGAGACACACAGAGACAGAGACTCCTCCAGCTGCAGCACTGAGATACACGGAGACACACGGAGACTCAGAGACTCACGGAGACTCACGGAGACACAGGGAGACACACGGAGACACACGGAGACACACGGAGACACACAGAGACAGAGACTCCTCCAGCTGCAGCACTGAGATACACGGAGACACACGGAGACTCAGAGACTCACGGAGACTCACGGAGACACAGGGAGACACACGGAGACACACGGAGACACACGGAGACACACAGAGAGACACGAAGACACACGGAGACACACAGAGACACGCGGAGACTCACGGAGACACACGGAGACACACGGAGACTCAGAGACACAGGGAGACACACGGAGACTCACGGAGACACACGGAGACACACGGAGACACAGGGAGACTCAGAGACACAGGGAGAGACACAGAGAGACACACGGAGACACAGAGACACACGGAGAGACACAGAGACACACGGAGACACACGGAGACACACGGAGAGACACAGGGAGACACAGGGAGACACACGGAGACACACGGAGAGACACGGAGACACACGGAGACACTGAGACACACGGTGACACACGGAGACACACGGAGACACAGAGACACAGGGAGACACACTGAGACACACAGAGACAGAGACTCCTCCAGCTGCAGCACTGAGATACACGGAGACACACGGAGACACAGGGAGACACAGGGAGACACAGGGAGACACACGGAGAGACGCGGAGACACACGGAGACTCACGGAGACACACAGAGACACAGAGACACACAGAGACACAGGGAGACACACAGAGACTCAGAGACACAGGGAGACACAGGGAGACACACGGAGAGACACAGAGACACAGGGAGAGACACAGAGACACAGGGAGACACACGGAGAGACACAGAGACACAGGGAGACACACGGAGACACACGGAGAGACACAGAGACACAGGGAGACACACGGAGACACACGGAGACTCAGAGACACAGGGAGACACACTGAGACACACAGAGACAGAGACTCCTCCAGCTGCAGCACTGAGATACACGGAGACACACGGAGACTCAGAGACACAGGGAGACACAGGGAGACACACGGAGAGACGCGGAGACACACGGAGACTCACGGAGACACACGGAGACACGGAGACACACGGAGACACACGGAGAGACACACGGAGACTCACGGAGAGACACAGAGACACACGGAGACACACGGAGAGACACGGAGACTCACGGAGACACACGGAGAGACACAGAGACACAGAGACAGAGACTCCTCCAGCTGCAGCACTGAGACACACGGAGACACACGGAGACACAGGGAGACACACTGAGACACACGGAGACACACGGAGAGACACAGAGAGACACAGAGACACACGGAGACACAGGGAGACACACTGAGACACACGGAGACACACGGAGAGACACGGAGAGACACAGAGAGACACGGAGAGACACAGAGACACAGGGAGACACACGGAGACTCAGGGAGACACACGGAGAGCCACAGAGAGACACAGGGAGACTCACGGAGACACAGGGAGACACACGGAGACACACAGAGAGACACACAGAGAGACACACAGAGACACAGGGAGACTCACGGAGACACAGGGAGACACACGGAGACACACGGAGACACACAGGGAGACACACGGAGACACACGGAGAGACACAGGGAGACACACGGAGACACACGGAGACACACAGAGACACAGCGAGACACACGGAGAGACACAGAGACAGAGACTCCTCCAGTTGCAGCACTGAGACACACGGAGACACACGGAGACACACAGAGACACAGGGAGACACACGGAGACACACGGAGACACAGGGAGACACACGGAGAGACACAGAGACTCCTCCAGTTGCAGCACTGAGACACACGGAGACACACGGAGACACACGGAGACACACGGAGACACACAGAGAGACACAGGGAGACACACGGAGACACACGGAGAGACACAGAGACACAGGGAGACACACAGAGAGACAGAGAGACACAGGGAGACACACGGAGAGACATGGAGACACACGGAGACACACAGAGACACAGGGAGACACACGCAGACACACAGAGACACAGAGACAGAGACTCCTCCAGCTGCAGCACTGAGACACACGGAGACACACAGAGACACACGGAGACACAGGGAGACACACGGAGACACACGGAGACACACGGAGACACACGGAGAGACACAGAGACAGAGACTCCTCCAGCTGCAGCACTGAGACACACGGAGACACACAGAGACACACGGAGACACACAGAGACACACAGAGACACACAGAGACACACGGAGACTCACGGAGACACAGGGAGACACACAGAGACACAGGGAGACACACGGAGACTGTCTCTGTGCGAGTCTCTGTCTGTGTGAGTCTCTGTCTGTGTGAGTCTCTGTCTGTGTGAGTCTCTGTCTGTGTGAGTCTGTCTGTGTGAGTCTCTGTCTGTGTGAGTCTCTCTCTGTGTGAGTCTCTCTCTGTGTGAGTCTCTGTCTGTGTGAGTCTCTGTCTGTGTGAGTCTCTTGTCTGTGTGAGTCTCTGTCTGTGTGAGTCTCTGTCTGTGTGGGTCTCTGTCTGTGTGGGTCTCTGTCTGTGTGGGTCTCTGTCTGTGTGAGTCTCTGTCTCTCTGTGTGAGTCTCTGTCTGTGTGAGTCTCTGTCTGTGTGAGTCTCTGTCTCTCTGTGTGAGTCTCTGTCTCTCTGTGTGAGTCTCTGTCTCTCTGTGTGAGTCTCTGTCTCTCTGTGTGAGTCTCTGTCTCTCTGTGTGAGTCTCTGTCTCTCTGTGTGAGTCTCTGTCTCTCTGTGTGAGTCTCTGTCTCTCTGTGTGAGTCTCTGTCTCTCTGTGTGAGTCTCTCTGTGTGAGTCTCTGTCTGTGTGAGTCTCTGTCTGTGTGTGTCTCTGTCTCTGTGAGTCTCTGTCTGTGTGAGCCTCTGTCTGTGTGGGTCTCTGTCTGTGTGGGTCTCTGTCTGTGTGTGTCTCTGTCTCTGTGAGTCTCTGTCTGTGTGAGTCTCTCTCTGTGTGAGTCTCTGGCTCTCTGTGTGAGTCTCTGTGTGAGTCTCTGTGTGAGTCTCTGTGTGAGTCTCTCTCTGTGTGAGTCTCTGTCTGTGTGAGTCTCTGTCTGTGTGAGTCTCTGTCTGTGTGGGTCTCTGTCTGTGTGGGTCTCTGTCTGTGTGTGTCTCTGTCTCTGTGAGTCTCTGTCTGTGTGAGTCTCTCTCTGTGTGAGTCTCTGGCTCTCTGTGTGAGTCTCTGTGTGAGTCTCTGTGTGAGTCTCTGTGTGAGTCTCTCTCTGTGTGAGTCTCTGTCTGTGTGAGTCTCTGTCTGTGTGAGTCTCTGTCTGTGTGAGTCTCTGTCTGTGTGGGTCTCTGTCTGTGTGAGTCTCTGTCTGTGTGGGTCTCTGTCTGTGTGAGTCTCTCTGTGCGAGTCTCTCTGTGTGAGTCTCTCTGTGTGAGTCTCTGTCTCTGTCTGTGCGAGTCTCTGTCTGTGTGAGTCTCTGTCTCTCTGTGTGAGTCTCTGTCTCTCTGTGTGTGTCTCTGTCTGTGTGAGTCTCTATCTCTCTGTGTGAGTCTCTGTCTGTGTGAGTCTCTGTCTCTGTGAGTCTCTGTCTGTGTGAGTCTCTGTCTCTGTCTGTGTGAGTCTCTGTCTGTGTGAGTCTCTCTCTGTGTGAGTCTCTGTCTGTGTGAGTTTCTGTCTGTGTGAGTCTCTGTCTCTCTGTGTGAGTCTCTGTCTCTCTGTGTGTGTCTCTGTCTGTGTGAGTCTCTATCTCTCTGTGTGAGTCTCTGTCTGTGTGAGTCTCTGTCTCTGTCTGTGTGAGTCTCTGTCTGTGTGAGTCTCTGTCTCTGTCTGTGTGAGTCTCTGTCTGTGTGAGTCTCTGTCTGTGTGAGTCTCTCTCTGTGCGAGTCTCTCTCTGTGTGAGTCTCTCTCTGTGTGAGTCTCTGTGTGAGTCTCTGTCTCTCTGTGTTAGGGTCTCTGTCTGTGTGAGTCTCTGTGTGAGTCTCTGTCTCTCTGTGTGAGTCTCTGTCTCTCTGCGTGAGTCTCTGTCTGTCTCTCTGTGTGAGTCTCTGTCTGTGCGAGTCTCTGTCTGTGTTAGTCTCTGTCTGTGTGAGTCTCTGTCTGTGTGAGTCTCTGTCTCTCTGTGTTAGAGTCCCTGTCTGTCTCTCTGTGTGAGTCTCTGTCTGTGTGAGTCTCTCTCTGTGTGAGTCTCTGTGTGAGTCTCTGTCTCTCTGTGTTAGAGTCTCTGTCTGTGTGAGTCTCTGTGTGAGTCTTTGTCTCTCTGCATGAGTCTCTGTCTGTCTCTCTGTGTGAGTCTCTGTCTGTGTGAGTCTCTGTCTGTGTGAGTCTCTGTCTGTGCGAGTCTCTGTCTGTGTGAGTCTCTGTCTGTGTGAGTCTCTGTCTGTGTGAGTCTCTGTCTGTGTGAGGCTCTGTCTGTGTGAGTCTCTGTCTGTGTGAGTCTCTGTCTCTCTGTGTGAGTCTCTGTCTGTGTGAGTCTCTGTCTCTGTGTGAGTCTCTGTGTGAGTCTCTCTCTGTGTGAGTCTCTGTCTGTGTGAGATTGTGCGAGTCTCTGTCTCTCTGTGTGAGTCTCTGTCTGTGTTGTTTCTCTCTGTGTGA